CTCTCTCTCTCTCTCTCTCTCTCTCTCTCTCTCTGCATGAACATATATTAACGCGTTATGTAGATAGATGAATGTATACCTAAAATATTGAATTATTTTATTTACCTAAAATATTTTATCAGTCATTCACCTAATTTGTCATTATTTTTTGTTCCTTATTGATATTATTATTATTAGCATCAATTAAACAAATAAAATGATAAAATTTTTTTTTAGATTTGCACTGAGCTCGAGTTCATAAATAATATAATATTATACATGAAGTATTAAGAATTAATTTATATAAATCATAAAAAACAAAAATAAGAACAAGAAAAATTGTCAATGATTGCATATATGTAATCGTATTTTTTTTATGTTTGCATTTGTAATTGTATTTATATTTATATTCGTACCCCTGTCAATATGATACATGAATATCTCTAGAAGTAGTTCGTTGCCTACAAAGTTTACAAATAGTAATTAAACAAAGAAAACCGAGAAGAATAGCGAGAGCTGCACCTAAACCAGCTCCTGCCCATCCGGCAGAACCAACAACGCTAGCCAAACCTCCAACACCATTTCCAGATCCAGAAATAATGCCATGCTTACTAACAACATTAGCTCCACAAGTTTCAATGGATTCATCATTCGGTTCTTCAACTGTTGTCAACGAATCAGTACTGTTATGTACATTTTTGAATATTGATCGAGGTTCTAATACAGGACAGTTAACAATACCATTGCAAACAAGTCTCGCAGGAATACAACCAGAATCGCCCGGACATTGAAATCCACAAAATTCTTCAAGTTTCTGTGTATTTAGAGCACCTGAAGAATCACGTGGTAAATGATACAATTCTGTCCAAGCAATTTTAAATGCGGCTCTTGCTGGTGCCATAGAACCAGTGAATTGAACAATTACGGTTGGCCATTCAAATTCTTCTTGCTGATAATCCGGTGGCAGTGATGATTGTGATGGCAGTTGAAGATGAGTTTGAGTTTGAATAGAATTCATGTTAAAGCGTCCAGAATCATGATCTCCAGATATACGAATATTTGGAATGATTTGTGCTGCCGATATAATCGGCATTTCTCTAACATAACTAACATTTTCACCGCATATACTAAGAAATGGTTCAGCAGTTCCAGGTAAAAAAATTTCTAATTTTCCATCTTCACAGGATCTCGAAGCAAACTTAATCTTGTCGAAATGCAACCAAATATCTCTATCTCGATTAACACGTAATTCCCAGATACATTTGATTGATCGAGGTGGTGCAACATATCCGAGCGCTTCATAGTGAGGAAATTCAAATTCACCATCGGTTGTAGCTGGTAGAATTGCTGGTCCACATAATGGACTGTGAGCAAATTCATACTTTGCTTCGAATAATGGTAAAGATTGTTTAAAGTAGTTCGCTGCAGCATGTGCACCATCCACCAGAAGTTTTAATTCAAGTCTTTCTCCTCTTGAAACTACGCGAAGTATCGGTTGTCTTTCACTATTCGGTCCATTATTAATTAATTTATCAACTATTGTTGATCGACAAATGCAATGACTTCTACCAATATTATTATTTTGTTGTTGACGTTGATGTTGTTGCTGATATTGGTGTTGTTGTGAATATTGCTCAGTAATATCAATAATAGATGGTTCTCGAATAATTAATCGATCAACTCGACTATCCCAACAATTACCACATTGTGCGTACGGATGTTCTTTAAAATTGACTGATTCTATAATAAGAATCACTCTTGCGTATAATCGTTTGTCTGTGATAAAACTATAAGTGCATGAAAGATCAGCTGGTGGATCACCTGGACGTTTATAAACGAGAGTATTAAGCGGTGATCGAAGTTTACCAGAACGTTCTTTCCAGGAAGTAAATGTTTCGTCGCATTCGGTTCCAGATATAGGTGTACCGAATCTTGTTGCATTAAAAAAATCATAATGTGCCCAATAATATAAGGAACTACCAGAATAACTTCCCGTTTTGCTTTCAAATTTGACAAATAAAGCATTTGAGCTGGATACGAAATCATGTTTTTCCATTGGTTTACTAAATGTATCGCAAAAAGTCTTTATAATTTTAGCATCATCTGGCCAGTCGGCATCATAAAGAGTTAAACTTTCACCGCAATCACCGTCATATGGTTGAATAGGTGATTCAATGCGATTAACTCGAAAACTAGGAAAATAAAGTCTTGCAATTTCGCCGGGTCGACCTTTGAGAAGATAGGTACAACTAGTATACGGTGGATACCAATGTGCCACCGAGAGAAATATTCCTTCATTACCACTATGTAAAGATTCACTGTTTAATAGCCAATCACAACTACCATTTCGAACACCAGCAGTTTCTACATGACCTGGCCAATTACCAACGTTAAAATGAAAACCGGTATTTAAAAGAGGTCCTGCTGGTGATGAAACAAACTCTACATAAAGATCTTCACTAGTACCGATTATACTATAAGGAAATTTTCCCATACCACAGAAGGTACCAATAGTCGGACTGGTTTCATCTTTCCCATCGTAAACGCGTATGTAATCATATGGACAGTGCTCTGAGCCAGAGCTTATTGGTCTCATAGGACAAGTCATTATGTTTTCACATCTTTGTCCGTCAATATTAAATTCTTCATTTTCAATGTACAATTTTATAAAAGGCAAACGTGTATTGAGACGATATTTGCAATGTAATGCTCGCGGATAAATGCCTGGATAAGCCGGACTTTGTACATAACATGTTTGTAATCTACAATCTTTGAAAACTCGTTCGCAATAACTGCCAGGCACAATTTCACCCCTTCGATTTGGATAGAGTTCCGGATGTTGACCATACCTTAAATATACTTCGAATTGTTGTTCTGCACGAGAATCAAAACTGAAGTATGTTTGATCCGTAAAATTATCCGCGTGAAATATCACACGAACAAAACTTGTTTCAGAAATAAATGTTTGTGGTTGCTCGGATTCACCACAATAAACACCTGGATCTTTTCGATTGCTCACCTCTGTTTTTGTATTTCCATCTACGATCTGTGGATTGTATAATTATATGTTTTTTTTTTTCATTTTTAAAGTTTCTAATATAAGTGAATAATCGAAAAAAATTAGGAATACATGCATACCTGTAAATAACCTCCGGAACAAGTAGTAGCATTTTCCAATACGCCAACTTTAAATTTCTTGAAACGAACTCGCAGAATCCAATCTCGAGGAGTTCCACGAAATGATCGAAAACGATACCAACAAGATAATGGTTTCCCCCAATTTGTTGAAGTTACAGCCGGACTCGATACATCTTCATATAAATCTACTGTCTTGTTACAATGATCTCGATCCGCTGAGAGATCCGAAAGAAAAAGGAAAGAAAAGGAAAATAAGATAGGAAATAAGGAAAAGAAAAACCAAAAAAAAAAAAAAACAGGAAAAAATAGTTATATACT